GATTTTATTTTTAATTGAGATAGTTGGTCCCAGTTATTCATTTCTTTCTAATAAAAATACACATTTACCCCTCTTTCACTTACCTTTGCAATATCCTGTCTCTCTGAGCCGAGTGTATTTAAGCAGAAGCTGTAGAGGTGTTTTCATGGCTTGGACTTAGCCTCTTGCACTCCAGTGATCCAACAAGCATCGGTAGCCACAGATTCAAAAAGAATGTAGAAAAGACTTAAACCCAGCTTGCATTCTGGAGTCTTGTTCCTCAATCTAGAGCTATAGAAGGCCATATACAGTTGAACCTAGGTATGCCCAGACAAGCACAACCAAACTGGCCGATTTATAGGCTCATCCATCAATTCAGAAACATTGTACTGGTGACTCTAGCCATAGCAATTTAGCAAGAACAAGCAACAAAAGGCATCCAGATTGGAAAGGAAGAAATAAAAATAACTCTTTAACAGATGACATGGTCTTTCCTTAAAGAAAAGGCTAAGGTATCCACTAAAAATTATTAGAAATAATAAATAAATTTAGAAAGTTTTCAGAATTCTAGATCAATATATAAAAAGTCACATTTCTATACATTAGCAATAAAAAATGAAATTAATAAAGCAACTTCATTTACAATGGCATCAAAAAGAATAAGCACTTAGTAATAAATTTCACAAAAGAAGGGCAAGACTTTTCAACTAAAAACTGAAATACCTGGCCAGGTACAGTGGGTCACGCCTATAATCCCAGCACTATGGGAGGCCAAGGTGGGAGAATCATCTGAGGTCAGGAATTTGAGACCAGCCTGGCCAACATGGTAAAACCCCATCTCTATTAAAAATACAAAAATGAGCTGGTTGTGGTGGCACATGCCTGTAATCCCAGCTACTTGGGAGACTGAGGCAGGAGAATCACTTGAACCTGGGAGGTGGAGGTTGCAGTGACCCTCACACCATTGTATTCCAGCCTGGGTGACAGAGCAAGACTCCACCTCAAACAAACAAACAAAACTGTAATACATTTTTAAAAGAACTTAAAGATGATCTAAATGAATAGAAAGACATCCTATGTTCATGAATTGGGAGACTTAATATCGTTATGATGGCAATACCTCCCAAATTGATCCACACATTCAATCCAATGCCTGTCAAAATCCTAGCTGCTGCTTTCACAGAAATTGTTAAGGTGATGACAAATTTCACAGGGAAATTCAAGAGATCCAGAATATTCAAAATGATCTTTAAAAGAAAAAATTTGGTGGACTCACTCTTCCTGATTTCAAAATGTACTGCAAAGCTACAGTCATATAATAGACAATGTGGTACTAGCATAAGGATAGACCTGTAGAGTAATAGAATAAAATTGAGAGTCCAGAAATAAACCCTTAACATTTATATTCACTTGGTTTTCAAAAAAAAGAAAAGCCAAGACAGCTCAATATGGAAATAATTCTTTTCTACAAATGGTACTGGGCAACTGAATATTGTTATTTGTGTCCAATAGTACCAAATATAAAACACATTTAATAAAGAGATATTCCAAACAGGCTTTGTGTGGGCAACACAGCTGTTTTGTTTCACGATTGGGTGCAAGCAGGCCAAATCCAAGAAAGGACTGGGAAAGGGAGTAGGGGTGGGAATTGGTTTTATAGGTTGGGGCATTTTTTCAGGAGGCAAGGGTGTTACAGAGTAATATCAGTTACAGTGGTGGGGGTAGGGGCAAGGAGTATACATTATCATAAGTTCAGTTACAATGGCAGGTGGGGTAAGGCGTAAGAGTAGTTAAGATGGTAGGGATATTCACAGAGCAAGGACAGTTAAGATGACAGGGTAGGGTTAGGAGTATTCACATTGTCATAATAACAGTTAAGATGGCAGGGTAGAGTGAGGAGTATTCACATTGCCATAATAACAGTTAAGATGGATTGTCATAATAACAGTTAAGATGGCAGGGTAGAGTGAGGAGTATTCACATTGCCATAATAACAGTTAAGATGGAAGGGTGGGGAGAGAAGCTCAATGTCTGGAGGAAACCCCCCCACCCAGAGATGGGGGGGGGCATTTGGGCGATCAGCCGAGGCAGGCAGGACTTCAGACTTTCTGGGTCCAGGCTTGCACATGGAGGCCTGACAAATATTCATGTTCAAATGGATGAAGTTGGACTTCTACCTCATCCCATACACAAAAAAATTAACTCGAAATAGATTTTAGACCCAAATACAAGGGTAAAACTTTCTTTTAAGGATTCTCCTGAAAGAAAATATCTTCATAAATTTGTGTTAAGCATTGATGCTGGGCACAGTGGCTCATGCCTGTAATCCCAGCACTTTGGGAGGCCATGGCGGCAGATCACCGACATCAGGAGTTCAAGATGAGCATGGCCAACATGGTGAAACCCCATCTCTACTGAAAATATAAAAAATTAGCTGGGTGTGGTGGATGCCTGTAATTTCAGCTACTCGGGAGACTGAGGCAGGAAAATTGCTTGAACCTGGAAAACAGAGGTTGCAAGTGAGCCAAGATGGTGCCATTGCACTCTAGCCTGGGCAATAGAATAGAACTCCATCTCAAAAAAAAAATTGTATTAAGTACTGGTTTCTTAGACATGACAACGAAAGCAGAAGTGACATAAAATAAAAATAGATAAACTAGAATTCATTAGACTTTAAATACTTTTGTGTTTCAAAGACCACCATTGAGAAACTGTAAAATAACTGCATAATGAGAGAAAATATTTGCAATTCATATACCTAACAATGGAATGCATCTAGAATATATAAGGAACTCATTACTTAACAATAAAAGAAAAGTTCTCAATTTAAACAATGAGCAAAGAAAAAAAGAATAAAACATTTAACTAGGCATCTTCTTAAAAGAAGACATATAAATAGCTTACAGTGCATGAAAAAATGCTCAATAACATTAGTCGGTAGAGAATTGCAAGTCAAAACCATAAGATGCTACTTCATAACACTGCAAACAAACAAAAACAGATATTCTCAAGTATTGGTTAGAAGGTGGAGAAATTGGAATCTTGAACCCAGGAGGCAGAGGTTGCAGTGAGCTGAAATCATATGATAGTTGGGTTATACATTGGCAAACACTGGAAAACAGGTAGGCAGTCTCTCAAGATGTTAAACCTAGAGTTACTATAGTACCTAGCAATTCCATTTTCTAGGTATTTAACCAAGATAATTGAAACCATATATTCATACAAAAACTGGACACAAATGTTCATAGCAGCATTATTCTCAGAATAGTCAAAAAGTAGAAACAACCCAAATATCAATGTATTGATGAATGGATAAACAAAATGCTGTATATCCATACAATGGATATAGCCGCTACAGGAAATGAAGTGCTGGTATCAATACTACAACATGAATGAACCTTGGAAACACTATGCTAAAAGAAAGAAGAAGACAAAATACACCCATTGTGTGTTTCCATTTATATGAAATGTTCAGTTAGGAAGATAATGGGGTAGAAAGTAGACTAACAATGTTCATGGACTTGGGAAACAGAGAAATGAGGGACAAATGCTGGTAGGTATTGTTCAAAGTACACACACACACACACACACACACGTAGCCTTCAGAGTTGTATTTGTTTTTAAATGCATGTTCTCATATGATGAACAAAGCAGGGTATGTTAAGCCTAGTGATTATTTTATCTATGTTTTTCACTCTATCTTTTCCTTCCTTCTTTCTTTTCTTTCCTCCTACCTGTCAGCATTTTTCTCTTTCTTCTTGTCTTTTAATGTAAACTTTTAACTGTAGGTATTTTAATACAATACAGATGACAGTGGACTTCCTATTGATTTATTTTTTTGATAAATAAACTTTATTTATTAATTAATGTATTTTTATTAGGCATTTTATTGCAAAATTTTTAAACTTTCTTTTTTGGAGACAGAGTTTCACTCTTGTTGCCCAGACCAGAGTACAATCATATGATCTCAGCTCACTGCAACCTCTGCCTCCCGGGTTCAAGCGATTCTCCTGCCTCAGCCTCCCAAGTAGCTGGGATTACAGGCACCCACCACCACGCCCAGCTAATTTTTCGTATTTTTAGTAGAGACAGGTTTCACTATGTTGGTCAGACTGATCTCAAACTCCTGACCTCAGGCGATCCACCTGTCTCAGCCTCCCAAAGTGCGGCAATTACAGGTATAAGCCACCATGCCCAGCCCCAATTTTTTAACTTTTATTTTGGTTTTGGGGTACATGTGCAGGTTTGTTAAATAAGTAAATTGTGTGTTGTGGGGGTTTAGTGTACAGACTATTTCGTCACCCAGGTAATAAGCATAGTACCTGATAGGTAGTTTTTCAATCCTCACTGTCCACCCTCAAGTAGGCCCTAGTGTCTATTTTTCCCTTCTTTGTGTCCATGTGTACTCAGTGTTTAACTCCCACTTATAAATGAGAATATGTGGTATTTGGTTTCTGTTCCTGTGTTAGTTTACTTAAGATAATGGCCATCCATGTTGCTGCAAAGGACATGACCTTGTCTTTTTTATGGCTGCATAGTATTTCACTGTGTGTATATACCACATTTTCTTTATCCAGTCTACTGATGATAGGCATTTAGGTTTATTCCATGCATTTGCTTTTCTGAATACTACTGCAATGACCATATGTGTGCCTGTGTTTTTATGGTAGAACAGTCTATATTTCTTTGGGTATATACCGAATAATGGGATTTCTTGGTTGAATGATAATCTGTTTTAGGTTATTTGAGATATCACCAAACTGCTTTTCACTGTGGCTGAACTAATTTACACTGCCATCAGCAGTGGATAAGCATTCCCTTTTCTTTGCAACCTCGCCAGTATCTTATTTTTTGACTTTTTAGTAATAGCTATTTTGACTGGTGTGAGATGGCATCTTATTCTGGTTTTGATTTGCATTTCTCTAATAATTAGCAATGTTGAGCATTTTTCATATGCTTCTTGGCCACATGTTATGTTTTATTTTGAAAAATGTTTGTTCATTTGACTTTCTGTTTTTTAGACAGTACAGTGGATGATTAAATATACCCATCATCTACCTTTGACAATTATCACCAACAGATGGCCAGTGATGAAAACTCGCTCTCTACATTGATCTCTATGTTCGTTTCAGAACTTTGAGAGACAAATGTGAAGGTAGGATGCAATGGACAAGAGATTCATTGGCGGGGGAAGGAAGGGAACTAGAGGGAACTAACACCTGTCAGAATGAAATACAAGTTTAACTTCTGTAGAGAAGAAAAGGGAGGAAGGAAAGTTGGGTAGGCTATGTCTTAGACCTCAGTGGAGTCTTCAAAAACTTTCAACAAAGCCAATGGGAAATTCTCAAGCCAATGTGACATGTGAGACAAGTACCCTACTCACTCCCTAAGAATGGGCCTGCCTAAGATCTCTGCTGTACTAAGTCATTGACTGGGACTAGTCCATGAGAAACATGACCTCTGCGTAAACTGGTGATGAATTGATATCAGAGCACAACAGTTGGAACTAGTCAGTTGTGCTCCTGGCAGTGGAAGATCTAAGAGGCATATTTTCATGACCACCACCCCCTTCTCTCACCCAAGTAATTATAAAGCAAACTCTTATCATTATGCAATTTCATTTTCATAGTTCTTTTTAGTGAAATCAGCATAATACCTATACCAAAATTTACCAAAAGTATCTTGCGAATGGGAGATGGGAAATAAAAGCATACCTACAAATTAATCTCATTTTACTTGTATAAAAACCTTGACTAAAATGTTACCAAATAGAATTTTGTAGTAAAAAAAAATTATAAAATAGGATTCATCTCAGGGATACAAGGACATTTATCAATAAAATTTACTATATTGGCATTTCAAAGTAAAAATAATACAATTACAATGGGAGATATAGAACTTACTTATAAGATAACTTGCCAGATAACTTACAATATACTGGGGTGTAAACAAATAAACCTACAATATAATGCAGGTATGGTACTGGTACAGAAATAGGAATATGGATTACTGAAAAAGAAGAGAAAGTACAGAAATGAACACAAGTTATACCTTGTGCATAACGAAAAAGAATTTCAAAGCAGTTAGAAAATGATAGATTATATAGAAATTGTGTTATGATATTTTGCTAGCATTTATACTTTTATTTTTTATTTTATGTATTTATTTTTCAGATGGGGTCTCACTCTGTTGCCCAGGCTGGAGTGCAGCAGCATGATCTCAGCTCACTGCAGACTTACTTCCCAGGCTCAAGTAATCCTCCTACCTCAGCCTTTCAAGTAGCTGAGACTATAGGTGCATGCGACAATGCTTGGTTAATTTTTGTATTTTTTCATAGATATGAAGTCTTGCTATGTTGCCTAGGCTAGTCTCAAACTTCTGGGCTCAAGCAATCCTTCCACCTCAGCCTCCCAGAGTGCTGGAACTACAGTCATGAGCCACTGTGCCTGGTCTCATTTCGAATTTTAAAAATAAATAGCTAGATCTACCTTATATCTTTATATGAAAATAAATTCCAGGTGGATTAAAACTTTGTTGACAGAGAACAAACAATAAAATTACTAAAGTAAAATAAGTAAACATTTACATTTTCTTGGAGTGAGGGAATTTCAGTGACATGTTAAAAATGCTAAAAACCCAATGAAAATGGCAGCACAGATTTATGCATGTTAAATAGTAGGAAATGTATACACTAAATATGGTACTTTACCTTGAAAAAGATGAAGTTTGGATGCAGAAACGGGGTCAGTGGAATTTCCTCTTGTGAATTCTTGTGTGATGATCTAAGAAGGGTTTTCTGAAATTAGAAAATTTTAACAGAGATGTGATGGTTTGTAGCACACATAATGATCTGAAGTAGCTGGTAGATGTTTGATGTGTCTGCAGTAACTTTTGTGTATTCTTGTTTGACTGTGTTCAGTTGGGTGCAGTGTTCTAGTTATACCTAGTGTTTTACACAGATAAAATCACACATAAGCAAGCAAAGAAAAATTGCCTTGCACTCAAATTATTCTCTAATACATCAGTTGGATTGGAGTAAATTCTCATTTTCAAATAAGTGTCATAGGAGAACTGACAGAATAGTAAAGATGTCTCCATCTCTTCAAAGTAGCACTGAAAAAATACACTGGAAAACTGTGGAAGTCTGACGGGTCACTCAACTTGCTCCCTGTGCCCCAGGAAACATTCTGTGTCATGGATCTTCCTGGGCTAGAAGGAATTTCCTTGATGGATTTCCTTAATGGATTTCCTTGATGCGTATGTACTGATCCTTTCTACTTGTTTGTTAGAAAGGATGAGGTAGAATCAAACATGCCTTTGATATTAAGCTTATGTGGTCCAAACTGAAAGGGAATTTTCTAGAGCGGTTTGTATCATCTGGAGAATTCTCTTTTTTCTTTAATTCATTGGTTTTCCAGGTTGTTCACTGTGGGGACATTTTTCTCTTCTTCCCCTTTCTTCCAAAAGTCATCAATTTCAAAAGAAATTTTACTAAAGTTCTGATAAATTGCTAACCACTTAGATATGAGGAAGAGTGAACAGTCATGGAGAAAGATGACTGGACAGCCAGGTGTGGTGGCTCACGCCTGTAATCCCAGCACTTTGGAAGACCGAAGTGGGCGCATCACCAGGACAGGAGATTGAGATCATCCTGGCTAACATGGTGAAACCCCGTCTCTACTAAAAATACAAGAATTAGTTGGCCGTGGTGGTGGGCACCTGTAGTCCCAGCTACTTAGGAGGCTGAGATTGGAGAATTGCTTGAACCTGGGAGGCGGAGGTTATAGTGAGCTGATATCGTGCCACTGCACTCCAGCCTGGTAATAGAGTGAGCCTCTGTCTCAAAAAAAGAGATAACTTTATTGGACTGGAAAAGCACTAAACATAACATAATTTTATAGGTAATAATTTTTCATCTTTGCAAATAAACTTCCTCTAGTTCAAATTGGTTATTTTCATTCCTTTAATAAAGCAATATTTGATTCTTTAAATAGTGTTTGGAAAAAATAATGTTTGCAGCAGTAATTTGTGGAAATGAGTTGCTAGCCACTTAAGTGCTGCTTTTTTAAACTTTGTTCTTAAACATGGTGAGTTTTCAATTTTATTCTTAATAAAATAATTAGAGAAATAAATTACATGTTTAGATTGCAATTAAAATTTTGTTAACCTCTTCTTTTACTGAGAAGATTAGAAACAATTTCTTGCTTTTGGTTTTGGAAATATTTACTCATTTCAAAGAGTAGAAACTGTCTCCTTAAGAAAAACCAGAAAAATTGCTTTTTCTTTTGAGACAGAGTCTCACTCTGTTACCCAGGTTGGAGTGCAGTGGCACAATCATGGCTCTTTGCAATCTCTACCATCCAAGCTCAATCAGTTTGCCCATCTCAGCCTCCCTGGTAGCTGGGACCACAGTTATGTATCACCACACCCAGCTTAATTTTTTAACTTATTTGTAGAGACAAGGTCTCTCTATGTTGCCCAGGCTGGTCTCAAACTCCTGGGTTCAAGCAACACTCCCACAAAGCCTTCCAAGGTGCTGGAATTACAGGTGTGAGTCACTGCACCTGGCCTCATTTTTTTTTTTTTTTAATGAAAGAAAAAGAAATAAGCATTTATTTTGCGTGTTTAAGAAGGAAATATAGTTTAATTCCAGTTAATGAGAATAAATGCTCTTTTACAAAAGACTGCCAATTAATAAAATATAGGAGAGGTGATGTAATTACAAACAGCATTCTGCATACTCTTCTGCCCCATGAAATAATGGATGCAGGCAAGAGTCATCAGTATATGCTAAATAACTCCGTGAAAGGTTGTTGGCAAACAGGTTACTATCACGTTGCCAAAGCATTTCCCTAAGATGAAGAGAAAATAGTATCTTTACTAGGAAATAACCTAACCGACTCACCTAATTTAGCAATACAAGTAATAGGATAAGCAAACATTGTGTGACTATTAATGGAATGCAATATGAACTGCACAGTGTCATCTATGAAATATGTATGACAAAAATGTTTAACCCAAATTGAACCAGGTCTTGAGATGTAATTTCCAGTTTATAGTAAATAAAGGTGATAGAGGATCAGGTTGAACACATCATAAACAGTAAATCAAATCCCAAAGAAAGGATATTCTACAACACAACTATCTGGTTTCATAAAATACTCATCATCAAAGAAGAAGTGGGGTGATTTCTAAATGAAAAGATATTTAAGAGACATAGCAACCAAATGCAGTGAGAAACTTGATTGCTTCCTAGTTTGGATGATAAAAAAAAGCTCTGGAAGACTTTTTGAGATTTTTGGAGAAATTGGTAGATTGTGTATTGGGTGATATCGAGGAATTAGTGTTAATTTTTTACATGTGATAATGGTATTGTAGTTATGTAGGATAATTTTCTTATTTTAGGAGATGTGTGCTGAAGAGATAAACTGATATATTCCCTATAACTTCTTTTGAAATGATTTCTCAAACAAAAATATGTATACAAACATACATATAAAAATGTTTTTTAAAGGCAAAATGTAAAAACTTGCTGAATATAATGGTAGGCATATGAATGATTATTATACTATTCTTTCAACATTTTATATTTATAATTTTTCATAATAAAAACATGGGTGAAGGAGAAAGCTTCAATTTTTATTTCAATTAGCTAGGCATTATTTCCTACAGCCTATATTACCATATTAGAGACTTAAGAATATGTAGGAACTCCGTGGCCCAGAAGAAAATTGGAAGGGAGGTAAGGGATTTAGTCTGTTAGCATTGCGTGCATCTATGGACCAAGTTCCTTGCATAAACCTAGAAGCTTTCTCTGAACAGAGGTAGCTTTTGGCATATGTCCATGGGAGAAAATAATTCTCCCAGATGCTAAAATTATGTATGAATGGAAATATAAATAGAGGAAGAAAAGACAGGCTCAAGTCTTCGAGGTGTCACTTTCAAGTGATTCTGTTGCTCCAGATCATTGCTCAGCTTGATAAATACTGGAAATCTTGTTCAGTTCTGAGTTGAAAGTACCCATAGATATCATTGCAGCTTACTGAATTCCAGAGTGAAATGATCTTAAATAACATTAGTTTGAGTCCTAAGAAATTACAGATATGTGACCATTGTTGATCAACAAAAACAGAAATTTCATGTGGTCTACTTAGTACTTCACTCTCCTCTACAACATTCTTGACAAAGGGACACCCAATTTCTGCATACACAAGAGAAAGGTTCAAGAAGTTCATTTCTTTCAGACAGACTTGTTAGGATAGTCTTCCTTACATCCAGATGACATTTATCACCACTCTGTAAATACCACCTTCTCTCCATTGTCCAGCTTGCTCCTTGACTGTTCAATTGTTTTAATTACTTTTGTTGTTGTTGTTAAGATGGAGTCTTGCTTTATTACTCAGGCTGGAGTCCAGTGGCACGATCTCAGCTTACTACAACCTCCGTCTCCTGGGTTCAAGTGATTCTCCTGTCCCAGCCTCCTGAGTAGCTGGGATTACAGGTGCGTGCTACCACACTTGGCTAATTTTTGTATTTTTAGTAGAGATGGGGTTTTGACATGTTTGCCAGGCTGGTCTCGAACTGCTTACCTCAAGTGGGTCACTTGCCTTGGCCTCCCAAAGTGCTGGGATTACAGGTGTAAGCCATTGCACCCTGCTTACTCTTCAAATTTTTGAAAGCAGTTCTCATGCTCCTCTTCCCTGCTTTTGATTATGCTTAAATTTGACCAGCATGCCAGCCATCCACATCTTCATCCAAAGTATTAACAGAAATAGCATACAAGGACAAAGTCCTCCCATCAAGATCCTGTTGAGGCAGTATACATGGCCATTGAGCAGGAGTGCACTGATATGAATCTGCTGGAGGTTAAGTCTCATCTCTATTGATTAGTAGCTAGATGTGTGACTATGGAAAAGTTATTTAATGAATGTGTGCCTCAGCTTCCTTACCTGTAAGGTAAAGAGTAATAATACTCCCACAGAGTTGTAGTGAGAATTAAATGGAATTAAAGCATGTAAAGCATTTAATCTGATGACTAACCCATAGGAAGTGTTCAGTGTTAATCAGTCGTTGAATATTCTTTGTTGTAATGTTGTTGTTGTCGTTAGAGTCTTGCTCTGTTGCTCAGACTGGAGTACAGGGCAGTGGTGTGATCGTGGCTTATTGCAGCCTCAAACATCTGGGCTAAAATGATCCTTCTACCTCAGCCTCCTGAATAGCTAGAACTACAGATGTGCATCACCATACACACCCAGTTAACTTTTAAAAATTTTTGCAGAGATGAGCGTCCTTCTCTATTGTCCAGGTTGGTCTCAAACTCTTGACCTCAAGCAATCCTCCCACCTTGGCCTCCCAAAGTGCTGGGATTAAATGTGTGAGCCGCTGTGCTTGGCTGAGTATTCATTAGGTGTACTTGTTCAAGGAGTTGTATATTCCCTGCTCTGTAGCTCAATCAATAACATTATGATACTATTTGTCATATGCCTTGAAATTCTCTCATAATACACATTTTACTCAAAATATTCTCTAATGACCTCATTTTTTTTTTTTTTTTTTTGAGACAGAGTCTTGCTCTGTCACCCAGGTTGGAGTGCAGTGGTGCGATCTCAGCTCACTGCAACCTCCATCTCCCAGGTTCAACTGATTCTTCTGCCTCAGCCTCCTGAGTAGCTGGAATTACAGGCACATGCCACCACACCTGGCTAGTTTTTGTATATGTATATGTGTGTGTGTATATATATATATATATATATATATTTTTTTTTTAGTAGAGATGGGGTTTCACCATATTGATCAGGTTGTTCTCGAACTCCTGTCCTTGTGATCCGCCAGCCTTGGCCTCCCAAAGTGTGTCTGGCCCTTTCTGTGTTTTTAAAAGACAACTGTCAGAACTCCAGAAGCCTGAGCTTTTTCTACCTTAAATGTTCCCTTTGAAATGACTGTAGGTACTTTCTGACTTAAGAGTTGAAAAAATGTGTTAAAAATTTAATGCGACAATGCATGTAAACCACTTATCACTGAAATTGCCACATCCAGTGCTTTCAAAAATGTCAACTCATTGTTATTAAAAGTATGACTACTCATTTTTTTTTTAAAGATGGGGTTTCACCATGTTGGTCAGGCTGGTCTTGAACTCCTGACCTCAGGTGATCCACCCACCTTGGCCTCCAAAGTGCTTGGATTACAGGCGTGAGACACCACGCCTGGCCGACTACTCATTTTTTTCAAAAGAGCTCATTTGGTTACACTGGATTTCTCAGTCATGAATATACAGGATAGTAAGACTCTCCTTTTGAAGAGGGGTTCAAAATATTTTAAACTATAAGTGCATCAGCCTGAGTTTCCTACATGAGAGAAGTATTTGGGTTGAAAATCCCTAGAAAAGCCGCCAAGGGAGTCCAAGGAGGGGCTTAGGTGATGCAGAGGAAGGGCCACTGTTAAGGGATGG